CCCGTATTACCGCGTAAAAACTAAGTGTCCATCGGGTTTTGTGGTGACTTTCCATGGAGTTTTGGGTGACTTTTTCACTCTGGTGTGATGAATCCAAGCGTTCTGTTCCTTGATTCTGATTGCAGTAAAGGAGGTGAGTAGTACTTGGAATGGTCCTTCCCACTGTGGTTCCAGGGTTTTTTCTGTAAGAGACTTTACATATACATAATCCCCAGGTTGTATATTATGTACAGGTCCATCTAAACCTCTCCCTCGAGTCCCAGCCACATGTTTCCTGATTTTATTGAGCTGCTTACTCAATGCTACCATGTAAGAGGTCACAATTTCGTCCCCAGCTTGTACAGACACCCCTTTCTGTATTTCATAGGGTCTTCCATATAACATTTCAAAGGGGCTCAGTCCTTCCCTTGGCCTTGGTCTTGTTCGTATATGCAGAAGGGCTAAAGGGAGAGACTGAGGCCATGTTAGATTTGCTTCTTGTCCCAATTTTACAATTTGCTGTTTGATTAAGTGGTTCATTTTTTCCACTTGACCACTCGACTGGGGGTGATATGGAGTATGAAGTTGCCAATCTATACCCAAATGGCGGCTAATTTGTTGTACTATTTTTGAGATAAAATGTGGTCCTCTGTCAGAGGACATGGTTGCTGGAACCCTGAAACGTGGTATTATTTCTTGCACTAATATTTTAGTTACCTCCTGGGCTTTAGCCGTTCTTGTTGGGAATGCTTCTGGCCAACCTGAAAAGGTATCAGTTAATACTAGTAAATATCGATATGCCCCTTTTCTTGGAAGTTCTGTGAAGTCAATTTCCCATTGCTGTCCAGGCCCATTGCCTTTCCCAATCTGACCCATTTCTAGTTTGGGGGTATTCTTAGGATTAGTCTGAAGGCAAAGATCGCATTGTTGAGTCACTTGTCTCACCGTGGTATATAAATTTCTAGCCACAATTTCTCTTATCAAATGTTTATACAGAGCCTCTGTCCCCCAATGTCTTTTCCTATGCTCTTCCCGTATCAAATGCCACAGTAAGCAAGAGGGAATGATTAGTTTTCCCTGTGGGGCATGAGCCCACCCTTCTTCATTATATGACCCTTCTAAATCTGTAATAAGTTTCTAATCTTCCTTGGTATATTCTGGCTTACCTTTTAGGGAGATTTGTCTATCAGGAATTAAAGCCCCTTCGATTTTTACCTTTGTTTTGGCTACTTGTTTTGCCTCTCTGTCTGCCAGTGCATTCCGTTTTTCCAAATCTGAGCTCACTTTCTGGTGTGCCTTAATATGCATAATTGCCACTTACTCAGGGAGCTGGACAGCTTCCA